CATCAGTACTTTTCGCATCTTGCATAGATTTCTTTCTGACCAAAATGATATTATTTGGTTCACTGATTGGCGCCTGGTCTGTTTGCATCTTTTTTAATCGGTATCACTCCCTGCAAGGAGGTAAGGCCACTAAGGTACAAGGCGTCACAGGATGTGGAAGAATTAGAAACAGAAATATTAATAATGAGCGGGAAGAAGAAAGAGTAATCAAGAGGACAGTAGATAGAGATTGATAATCACATTTAAATTTTTGGAGATTAAAATTGGCTGAAAGCATCGAGCCAGAAGGCACAACCGAAAAGTACTAGAAATGAAACTGTTAGCATAGAATTTATTTTAAAAAACTGTCTTTTGAAGTCTCTGATTGAGACCTAGTGGTAACTCGTACTAGACAAAACAAATGCAAAATACAATAATAATAATAATGTATATTTCATGCATTCTTTTGGTCCGGTCTGAATCCTTTTAATTGTTAGACATGACGTCATTTTGAACTATTTCAAATTTTCATCTCTCAGGGTGGAAATTGTGGATAAACTATTCGAAGTTCATGTTTGTTCTGTTATTTTTGTTCAGTTACTTACAAATGTCTCATTCATTATCAAGAACCGCGTGTTATCAGTGTAATAGGCAAGATTCCTAGTATTTTATATACAGCTATGAAAGTTTGAAATTAAATAGTTCCTCCTCGGTTTTATGAAAAGGAGCAGAAATTTATCCCTTGTTTCTTGGGTTTCTGGTTCCTTCTAAAGCTTTTTCATTCTCTTTCAATGCCAGTAACCTCTTGCGTATTAGTGACATTATCGCTTTGCTTGGAGTGAAATGGTTAAAAAGTCCAAGGTCAAATGATATCTATCCTACAAGTCCTATCCTACAATGGGTCCTTCTTAATTTCTCCTCCCCTCAAGTAACCATTGGGCCTTGTATTGAGTGAAATAACGGTAAAAATATTCTTTTTATCTGCAAAAGCAGGACATTTTCAATACACGTCAGACCCGTAACGAATTTGAGCCGTCTAGGCATTTTGCAGACAGAGCAGTAATTACGTGTATAGGTTAGGATAACGGATAACGATGAAATCTATGATTCTTCAGAATAGTTTGGAATTTTGGGTTTAGTTTCTTATCTGGTTGTCACTTAAAGAAAAGAGAACCTAGTTAGGCCAGTCATATATATGATGATGACGCTCAGTTTTTATATTTGTGTCGTATGTGACACTTCATTCCTGTTAGTGACCTGTTTACAAGTCCACATATTGTGCAATATCGAGGATCTCGGGACACAGCCACAAGAACATTAGCTGACGCTTTTCTCTGTTGTCTTTCGTCTCTTAACCAATCAATACAACCGATTTCGAAATTTATGATATCACTCTGGCACAAGTATCTCCATTAAATTTTATCCAGGGAAACTCACTCGAAGTTAGTAAGATGCACATTAACAGCTGCAAGGTTAATATTTAGCTTGTCTACACCTGAGCCACGGTCGTCCAACAGTCCTTTGTCCACTGTCAAGTTGGCTATACATAAAGACATAGATATTATGTCGTCACTCATTCTTGTAATATGACTAGCCCAGCGAAGTTGTGACTACATTAGAAAAGTTTCAATTCCACCAATGTTGAATTTTGCGAGAATATCGGCATTGGACATCCTATCGTCAAAAATATAGTCACAGATCGTGCGGAGAAAACTTTTGCGGTATAGTGGGGCAGATTATGCAAACCATCGTGCAAATTGTGAGATAAGCATCAAATTTGGCATAATTGTCCCTGATAGGTCACTTTTTCAGAAAAAAACTCCGAGAGACGAAAAAATCCAATGTGGCTGCCATTTTTCAAGATGGCTGCCAAACGGGCCTCTGTTTCATGCATTTTGCTCAAAAATCATAGTGCAAATTGTGATATAAACATGAAATTTGGCAGGAGTGTTCCTTGTAGGTAGGTTATTCAGGTGAAAGTGCTAGCCACGAAAACATTTCAATATGGCAGCCTTTTTTCAAGATGGCCGCTAAACGGGCCTCTGTTTCATGGTTTTACTCAAAAACCATATTACAAATTGTGATATAAACTTGAAATTTGGCAGGAGTGTTCCTTGCAGATCTGTTTTCAGATAAAAGTTCTGGCATTGTGAAAACTCAACACGGCGGCCATTTTTTCAAGATGGCAGCCAGTGCCTCATAGTGGCAGTTCATCCAGGAGACAACATTCAAATTGAAATGTGAGGAGATATGAAGAGGCACACTGGTGACAGACACTGCTGTGGAACTCAGCATGGGGTTCAATGTCAGCTAAATCCCAAATTCTATCTAGTAAGCCCCTAATATATTAGATAGACGTACCTGAATGGACAGATTGTGCCAACGCGGGAGAGCCGAGCCAAGGATAACAGTGGCTTTTGAAGTTATCTGGATGGTGTACAGATCGCACGGGATTCAAATGGCATTGGATGAACGATCGGGCTAGGTGTAGGGCAGTTGCGTGAACCTAGTTGTATCCCATACATCAAAGTGAGCGAACGGTGGTAAAAGGATAAACCCTCGGCCGTTCCTGTCAAATGATGGATAAAGATTCCACGTCGAAAACTGATTGGAGCAAATGCTGCCTTTGTCAGCAGGAAAAAGGCAAAGAAACCTTCATTTCACCTCTTAGTTCATTCCAGAGGAAGCAAGATTATTTTGGATACAGTAATGTACCATTGTTTTATGCCATCAATGATATGCCGATAGCACTTGACCCTTCAAGGCTTGATGAAGGTGAAGGTATAGAAACCACTTTGGTTCGAAATGGAGCTAAATATCATCAGAGTTGCCGATTGCTGTTCAACAACACTAAGATAGAAAGAGCAGAGCAAAAAAGAGCGGCCCCGAGCACCTCCAGAGCAACAGATGAACCTCGAAGCAAGAAACGAAAATCTGCAGACATTCCAAAAGTGGAATGTTTCTTCTGTGAAGAAGAAGATGTTATTTCGAATCTGCAAGAGGGGATGACAGAGAGACTAAATGAAAACCTCAATCAATGTGCCAGAACACTGAACGATGGAAAGCTCCTTGCAAAGTTAAGTGGCGGAGACATTGTTGCCCTGGAGATTAAGTACCACTTTTGTTGCCTCCAAAAGTTGTACAATGCTGAAAGATCGTACCTCAATTCCCTAGAGAAAGCAGAGAGTAGTGATCCAGGGAAGGATTTATACCCAGTGGCCTTTTCAGAACTCGTTATCTACATCATGGATAGCAAAGTCACCAACACGGAAGCAGCACCGGTTGTATTTCGGCTTGCTGGCCTAGCCTCTCTCTACAAGCTTCGTTTGGAACAGCTTGGCCTTGATTCCCCGAATGTCCACTCTACCAGGTTGAAGGAACAGCTACTTACTCGGATTCCAGAACTTGTAGCCCATAAGAAGGGACGTGATATACTCCTTGTCTTCAAAGCGGACATATAACCAGTGCTCCATGAAGCTAGCCAGTACAGCAATGCTCTCCATCTATCTAAGGCAGCAGATATCCTGAGAAAAGAAATGCTCCAGCACAAGACAAAATTCAGCAGCGAACTCAAAGATGGCTTTGGTGAGGAGGCTATCCCACCTGCACTTCTTCAGTTTGTGTGCAGCATTGAACATGGTGTTGATATAAAATCACATCTGACGCACTGAATAGCGAAGTCAGACTTAGCTATTGCTCAGCTTTTACAGTTCAACTGCTACTCAAAACGTAGAGAAGGATTGACATCCCAAATACATTCTAAAGACCGTGAGACCACTTTTGCTGTCTATGTCGGGTTGAAGACACGAAAAAGAGAGTTAATTGACAAATTCCATGAGCATGAACTAAGCATATCGTATGTCAAGGTATTAGAGATATCCGGCAAGCTTGGTGAAACTGTGATAAAACAGTATGTCGAAGAAGATGTTGTGTGCCCACCAGTGCTGCGAAAAGGGCTGTTCACTACGGCTGCTGTCGACAACATTGATAACAATCCCACGGCTACCACAGCTAGCACGTCATTCCATGATACAAGTATTTCCATGTTCCAACACCCAAGTAAGGAAAACAGAGGAGAACAGCGAGTTTCACCGGAAATAACAGACAGTAGGACAAGAAAGGCTCCTGAGCTTCCAGAGCATTATACAAACATCGCGCCAGCCTACTTCAAGAAGAACCCAACTCAGTAGACGAAGTATCACTGCCTGACCCCAGTCTCTTCCAAGGGAACATAAGAGTCGAATACGAATGGTTGGAAAAAGTTCAAGGTACCACCGATGTAGATGATGAATCCAATATAACATGGTCAGCTCATCATGCGAGCCAGAAACGGACTAGCGAATGTGAAACAGCATCACTTCCTTGCTACCTCTTCTCCGAGATCAAGCTCACGTCGTTGCCACAATAAAGCATGCCATGAAGAAAGTAAGAGAAGCTGTAGCATTTCTTAACCCAGGGCAAACTCCCGTCCTGGCAGCTGATCAACCACTCTATGCCATGACAAAAGAAATACAGTGGTACTGGCCAGAGGAATATGGAGAAGACAAGTTTGTGATCATGTTTGGTGGGCTGCACATTGAGATGGCAGTACTGAAGTCTATTGGGTCGGTGCTAGCAGATGGACAAATGCACTTGTTGAAGCTGGTGTAGCCTCTTCCGGAACTGCAGATTCATTCCTGTTGGCAACCAATGTCACTAAAACACGTCAAGCACATCAGGTCACAGCATGCAGTTTGTTTCAGCTCCTGAAGAAAGTCTACAGTTCGTACCTTGCCGAACATTCTGGTGGCGATGAAGCCTACAGATTTGTTGAATGGTGTGATAATCGAAAGGATGAGAGTCCACAGTTCGCATTTTGGTTCTCTATCCTGAACATGAAATTGACAATCTTAACACTGGTGCGAGCATTTAGAGAAGGGAATTTCAATCTGTATCGAGAATCACTGTCGGAACTGATACCTTACCTCTTTGCCAACAACAATGTCAACTATGCAAGATGGCTTCCTATTCATCTGCGTGATATGATATCATTAGAGAAGCAGCACCCCGAGGTCGCCAGAGAATTCCACAATGGGTATTTCGTGTTTCATAAAACTGACAGGAAGTTCTTCGCAATGGCAATCGACCAAGCCCATGAACAAAACAATGACGTCATCAAAGGGGATGGGGGAGCTGTTGGCCTGACAGAGGATCCATCAGCTCTTCGGAGGTGGATGGTGGCTGGTCCAGAAATTAGCAAATTCGTTGTTGGCTATGAAGCCATATCAGGAAGCAAAGAGGCGAAGAAAGGAAGTCAACACCATGAGCAGTCACCAACTGCTCAGAAGGCATTCTTTAAAAAGGTTCAGCGGCTTACAAGTGTGATAGAAGAAATGGGCGATCCATTTTCAGAGAAGTCCACTGATCTACTGTCGCTTGACACTAAAGACATTGCTGATCCTACAGCAGCGCTGCTGGTTGCATCTCATCTGGAGAAAGGGAAAGAGCAATTCCAAACATTCATGGATAAACTCAAGACCGACAGTCAGCATTTCTATCAGCCAATCAAACGGAATAACAAAAACAAGCACAGGTCCAACAGAGAAATTAGAAACACAGCTACTAAAGGAGGATTGTCAACTGTTCTTCCGCCTTTTCATCTCCTGCCAAAGCAGAGGGTGTGATTTACCAGAGTTTTTCAAACATGAGAACCAATCTTTCCCTCCGTCACTCAGCAAGCGAGGCAAACTACATGTATCTACCAAGTCTGATCTCGTGGACGTCCTGCAAACCAAGGTGGAGCTTCCAGACACGAAGCCAGAAACTGACGTACTCATAGTAGATGGTGCATTTCTAGTCAATACAGTAACGCCTAGGACACCGAAGACGTTTGACGAATATGCCAGACAGGATATTCTTTCTAAGGTGCAATACTACAGTAGCAATTACAAGAGGACAGATATCATTTTTGATGTCTATCACGAGTCTAGTCTGAAGTCTGAAGCACGATCAAAACGCGGGAAAGCTATCAGGAGGAGAGTAACGGCAAAAAGCAAAACACCGACTAATTGGAAGAGCTTTCTAAGGGACAGCGCCAACAAAACAGAGCTGTTGAATTTCCTTGCTGACGAAGTGGGTAAAATGACCACAACAAATGAAGTAATTGTAACACGAGAGGAAAATGCTCTACCAAGTTCCAGCCATCCTGATACTAAGATAGACGAATTGGCTCCTTGCACACATGAAGAGATAGATACCCGGATATTTTTGCATGCCTGGAATGCTGCTAAGGATGGACACAAGTCTCTCATGATTGAAGCTAATGACACGGACATTGTAGTCATAGGCTTAAGCCTGATGTCTTCTTTCACTGCTATGGGCATGGAGAAAATGTGGATCGCCTATGGCAAGGGGGAGCACACTCGATGGATCCCAATACACGACCTTGCATCTTCTTTTGGACCGGAAAAAACCGAAGGGATACTATTCTTCCATGCGTTTTCCGGATGTGATGTGGTATCTGGATTCAATGGCAAAGGGAAAAAAAGCATGGCAGACATGGAATATTTGCAACGATGCCTCGGCTACATTTGCGAAACTCAATCACTGTCCTCCTGAAATTAATGAGTCTGATTTACAAGTTCTAAAGAGATTTGTTGTTCTGATGTACGACCGGTCAAGTGCTGCTACTACAGTAGATGAAACAAGGTTAGATCTCTTTGTCAGGAAGCAGAGGTCATACGAATTAATCCCGCCAACACAAGGAGCGCTAAAGGAACATGCCAAACGTGCTGCCTTCCAAGCAGGACATATCTGGGAGAAGTCCGTCGTTCGTGATCCAGAGCTTCCGTGTCCTTCCAAGTGGGTTGTGGTTGAAAGACGGTAACAAATGGAAAGTTGCCTGGACTTCCTTGAAACCAATTTCTAAAAGCTGTTGTAAATTGACAAAGTGCGGATGTAAGATAAAATGTGGTGGAGGACGATGCAAGTGCTCAAAGGTTGGAACAGGCTGTACTCCGCTTTGCAGTTGCCCTTGTGAGATTTAGTAAACAACAACGAATGAACTTCGGGCTGGACTTTTGTCGCCGGGTCTTGGAAGGTTAGCCTATTGAAATTCAAATGCAGAAAGTTGTAAAGATATATATGACCTGTAGATATTTTCCCAGATATGGACAATTTCCATGCTGGGTATTAGCACAGAAAGTAATTTTGACGTTGAATTGGACATTTCATCAGGATTGTAAATGTCGACTTTAAATCATTTGATGTAATTATCCACCGCAGGATATGGCCGCTATATCATGCCAAATCAATTGAAACAGTGCAATCATTGAGTTCTCTCACTCAGATTTAGAAGTGATACGACAATAAATCAAAAACATTTAATCAAATTCAACTAATTTAATGATTTCAGATCAAAATCATAAAACAGAGGCCCGTTTGGCAGCCATCTTGAAAAAGTGGCCACCATATTGTTTTTATTTTCGTGGCTAGCACTTTCACCTGAATGAGTGGCCTACAAGGAACACTCATGCCAAATTTCATGTTTATATCACAATTTGCACTATAGTTTTTGAGCAAAACCATAAAACAGAGGCCCGTTTGGCAGCCAACTTGAAAAATGGCCGCCATGTTGAATTTTTTTGTGGCTAGCACTTTTTTCTGAATAAGTGACTTATCAGGAACACTCATGCCAAATTTCATGCTTATCTCACAATTTGCCGCTAACCTTTATATTTATGCAATCCCAACATTATGTTTTCTTTTAAAACATATTTTCCGAACATATCTTTTTGCCTCCCCCTTGAAACATTTGCAGTAGATACCCATGTTTACATGGCAAATTTTACAGAGCATCGCAAACTGACAAAAAATGATTTCAAATTATCAATAAAGGACAGAGAAAAGAAGACCGAGAGGGAGAAGAGTTATACAAAAGCAAATATAATGATACACATCTGACGAAATGAAGCCGTGCCGGAGAACATTCAAAGATGTGAGATAAAAACAGAGGAACATGAAGATCATCTTTATGAAACACATATTTTATTTGTCATTTACTTATCGCGGAGATAAATTCAAATTTAACAGCCGGATTTCATTTAGTTTAATGCAATAAAAACGATAAACAAAAGACAAATTCATACAATGAACATAAATCAAAATACAGATAGAGTTTAATTTCAAATCGAAATCAAAATAAACTTAGAAAAATAAAGAAACAACTTCCAATGAGATTCGAACTCAAAAGGCTGAAATCTTCAACCCATTGTCACTAGTTCAAATGCGAACATTCAACTGTTTACCTGACTTATTTATTCTCTCCTTCTTATTTGTTAGTCACCCTTAAAGTTTCAAATGAAAAAATAAAGAAAACATATTGAAGAATATTGTCAAACAATAATAAGAGTGGATAAAATCTTAATGGGAGTGTGCTTTCGAGAGAGAAGCCAATAGAATAAAAATTGGATTGAGAAAAAAGAAAAAAGCGAGTCAAATAAGACAGTGTGTCAAAAGGGAGAAATTAGTAGACAATACTGGGGGAAAAGATTAAAAAAGATTAAGTGATATTAAGCGTTAGAAAAAGTGTTTGAAAGGATTATATAAAAGAGAGTGACAGTGAAAAGATAAAACAAGAAGAGAATAAATGAAGTCCAATAGCGATAGTGTGGAAAAGAATGGAGAGACCGAAGACATCACAAATGACAGAATGATGGAAAATAAAATTGGAACACACTGAATATGTGTTTTCCATTTACTCATGTACAGCTAATATAGCTGGATTACAATAAATGATCATATATATACATATCAGTATGTACATATGATCCAAAAGAAGGTGCATATCAACACTACTGAGACCTCACATTAACCCACAGGTATATCCTCTTTTGGGGCTATGACAGTGCATCTCGCGTGCATACAATCTTGTGGATGGCAAATACCTTATCTGCGTTACATTATTCCACATGTCTTGTACCTGCTGAGAGTTGTAGGCCGACTAACTGAATGAAACACGTGTTGTCCCATCATGCCTCGATCGTGTCAGCCAGACAAATTGTCGAACATCTTGCAGAGCATGTTAAGTAGAACAGGTATCATGTGGATGGACATTATCCCCTTGCAGAAATGACAACAAAACAGGTTTAACAATGCTTTGTTTTTATATGGCACTGTTCAATGTCCCTTCAACAAACATTAAAAGTGAGTAAGTGTTGTAAATTATGGTAGCTCACACTGTAATACTAGTGGTTGGGTCTGTGTGTCATGAGTATTATACACTATGGAAGATGTCAGTACTTAAGCCGGCGTTACACACAAGTATCACTAGTGTGAAGGTAGAAGATGAACTCATTTCAGAACAACTTTCGCCTCTCCACTGGAAACGTGCACCATGGTACTGTGGCGTACGTGAAAGCCTAGTTACCGATATGTATGCCTGTAGGCTTGATGCATGTTCATATTGTTACTAATAACCGGTGCATTTACTTTGATCACTGCTATCGATGTAGTCTACCACTGTTGTCCTTTACAATGCACCGATTTGGATGAGAATCTGTACTAAATGACTATCGAGAACCTGATCTAAGGAAGTAGGGATGTTCATTTAACCACTCTTGTCAATTTCGAAAAAACACCGACACGTCGGGTCATACATATACAGCAATTCTCCGAAATGACCATCCAGTTTCTCAAACGGGTTTAATTGAACAAAGGAGCATATGTACTTCTCCAAGGAAACGAAACCTGCTTGCAACAGACTCTTTTTCCACACTCAAATTTATCACAGAATGCATCACTGTTTAAAGTTCTGAGACAAACGGTGCATTGACATGACAATTACTACGTCAAAAGATGGCCGAAAACCGAAGCTTTTATGAAAATATTTACTACACTCTCACGTGTACATAATTTACCCAGGTCAAAATTGTCCTTCAGAGCTTTGTAATTTTATTTTCCATAAGTATATGCATGGGGGAGGGATGAAAGAAAGGAATTAAAGACACTGCACTAAGGGACATGCAGATTTCGTTGCTGAGTATGAGATCGAATCTTAAAGGAATACATTTTTTTCTCTTGGTTACCAAATACATTTTCCTTGATCTTAATATTTGAATTGGGCCCAGTGATTTAAAAAACAATTAATGACAACAATATTTTTTTCTTTCCAGTTCATCTAAAATGACATGTTTGCATATATACTCACATACACCAACATACACCCAGCACTGCATACATGCAAGATCTATAAATGTATGAAATCTTCATTATAATTTACAAAGGATATTTATATTCAATGTTTTGTCGATCTTTTTACGTATACCATGGAGTAATTGGTGATCACAAAAAAGTTCATATCTCATTCGCAGACAAATACAGAATTGTCTCAATTTCAGTTTCTTTTTCCTTTTTTTAAGTTCTAAAATAAAATAAAATATTAATATATAAAGTATAAAATATGTTAAAATATCTATGCATTTTACAGAATCATTAGGAAGAAAATTATATCAAGTATGGAACACACTAGAAGATGGCGGGGATAGAAATGCAAAGATAAAATTTGTGAAATTAGTCAATATACCACTTTTAATTATTTTCCGTTTTAAATGAAATGCAATTTTTAGTGATTAAGATGTCTAAAATGTTAAAGACTTGTTTTTAATACTCAACCGTGAACTTTATT